TTAAGAGGATTAGTAGGCGAATAAAAAATGTTGTCTAACATGGCGTGAGGTTTGATAAGCAAGAATTCAATTTTGTAAAAATAAAAAATAATAATTTTGGAAACATTTAATAGTACCTACATTGTCTGTGTACAAAATCTGGAGTCAGGTTGATAGTAACGGAGAGACCATGAAGTTCAGTCGAATAAATCTGTGGCGGAAGAATGCAGTGAGTTTCAAACGACACAGATTGGAGTGAGTTTCACTGCAACGAAATAGCCTGAAAACTTGTAGTCTGTAAAATCTCGTCTACTGGCATTCACACATACGTGGATCATCACAACAAAGTGGCTAACACGGAACCAGTCACCTGAATCTCATATCCTACACATTGATTTGAGGGATTCCAGACAAATCGAATCAGTCAACACGATACACAGTCTCTCAATTTTAATTAGCTATGGTTTGAAACATGTCACATATTGTGGGCCAAATATGTTTGGTTTGCAATGGAGTGTATAGTTAGGTTTCCACCTCGGATTATTTAGCGAACATGAGAAGACATGTTCATGAGAACGATATTAGTGGATTTACAGTTTTAGACTCACTTGTTTGTTCACAATCGAAATAATTGAAGGTAAGTTGTTCATCTGCTTCCTGATGCAGGTTCCATTTGACTTGATTGAGAGTATATTTTCAGCAGTGAAGTGGGGCAAGTGACTAACTGGTCCATTCGAAGTTTGAGTATGGTTTATTTTGTTAAGGGGAGACTGCTTACTTGCTAGTAGACACTATGCATATATTGGCACAAGAACGACGAGTTAATTTGAGTCGGTTAATAATTGGAAAGTTCAAAATGTGGGGTAAATTCCTTTTCTTCTTCTTCTTATTCACACCCTGAGTTCCATGTCGAACATAGCGCTTCAGAGGCATATCTCCACTGCACTCGATTTTGTGCTCTCCCTTACAACGGCCTACACTACCTTTCACAAGCTTTACTCCTTCCTTACAGAAAAATTCTCCTTGTGACCCTCGTATCTGTTGAGTTTCCGCTCAATATATCTACAGTCGATGTATCTAAATTTCCTTGTGCATACTTATCAAGTTCAAATTTTTTGACTGGTTCTATATCTATCACTGTATCGCTTTATTTATCCTTCCTGACCGATATGTTATCCTCGCTATCAATCTAAAACAGCTGTTAGCAGAAGTCTCCAGTAGTTTGTTGAAAATGCTTTTGTTGACAAGCATTCTGACTGTCTGAATTATTAAGAAATACTCACTGACTGACGTGATGTGAGTGTTGAAAATTCAGGTGTTCATCCTTGTATCGCATATTGCAGATCTACACATGATCTTTCCAGCATTCAATATCAGTCCATTTCTGCCTGGATTTGACGTACTCTTCTGTCTATAGTTAATATTGAACGTTTCTCGCCAGTGAAAGTGTTGATTTGAGTAGGAATTTTCGAAATAATTGTTATCGGTATTGCGACCGAAACCTACTCGGTGTGGTCTGAGCGCCGGAAATCGATTTCTGCATCCTACTCTGCTGCATAGAGCGAAGATGAGAAAGGCAAGACACATCTTCAGTGATCTGAAATCAGTCTAAAAGTCAACTTCACTGAACATAAAGAACAACATGTGGATGACCAACACTAATAAGTCAGTTCCCCTGTGCTCTTCAGAGACTTGATACAATACCAGAAGTGTTTCTGTCCGAAAATTGCGGATTTTATTCAACAACTGTCTTATCTCATTGACACTGAAGATTAGTTGGTCAGCCAGAAAGTATCAACATCAATGAATTCCGTCAACGAACCAACCTCGAACAGTCGATCAAAAGGTGTACTGGATGAGATGAATGTTTATGTTAGATGTATTGGAGAGATTGTTGTGTGAAATCGCATACTTCGTCGACTCGCCAGTGAAAGTCGGTTGAAAAATGACAAGATTGACTTTCGTGAGATAAAGATTGTCTATAAATGCGTTTTTATGGTGCATTAAATGAATTAACCGAAAACAGCCTCTCCACTCAACTACCTGTCTTCTATTCGTCACTATCTGGATGAGGGTCATTCAATAAAATGAGATATGAGTCACACAGTGGTTTGCGTGTGATCAATCATAGCCAACAACGACTTCCTCATTGTTATGTATACACTCAAAGGTATTACAGAAAATATTTCCCATGAAGAACCAAATAGAACATATATCTATATATATGTATCAATAAGTGCAGAGATATTGAACAAAGCATAGAGAAGACAAATATAACAAAATCATATCAACATTTCGTAGTTTCTTCACCATCGCTTTACTACTACAAGGGTTCACATGAATGAAATGAGATCTATGAGAATCACTCATTTACAACAGAAGTACATACTAATGAGCACAGAAATTTTATCAGGTCAAGTAGTCCATAATAAGTACATGTTGCAATCTGTTGTTTTCTGCTCACACCGTTTCAAGTGCATGTAATTAATCCATAAATTAATTCCATCAATTTTGAGAACCTTGAATTGGATAGAGTTACGTGAAATAATTGAGACACATTCATCAGTAGAACAAGAGATATCTCAGAAGTGGAGATAAGGATGCATTGAAACCTGCAGCAAAGAACAGGCTCACTGCAACATGCTTAGTTATCAGTTGCCTTGTGACTTTTCGTTAACATCCATCTGCTGACCTGCATTAACTAGCGGCAACTGATGAGCGATATTCGAAGTCACGAATTCGATGAAATAGGAAGCTAACAACTGCTCTCACGAATCTTCGTCCAAGGTGGGTAATGTGTGTCGCAGGAGATTTCTCAGCGTCACTGAGAGAATCCAGGAATCGTTATCCCGAAAAGGTTTCAAAGACCAGGACATCTGCAGTGCCCCTTATTTATATGTGGGCTGTCAGACTCGCATTGGAGTCTCTCGACGACCTTGTCTCACGCCACCTCACCGTCAACCTCCTGAGAGTCGCCGCAGGCAGCCTCCGCACGGCCTTCAAGCAGAGTCCTCAGGGCAAAAATAATGCCTTCTTCTCCACAATTGCCAGTTCATCTTTGTGACCATCATAACCCATGTTAGCTTTTTGAATCTTCTCCCGGTAGCCGTTTCCCCCTTCATTATCCCGAACGACCTGGGGTGCTGTCTCTAGAGAGTGTCTCGAGTGAATCGACCTTCCAATCAAACTACTTTTGACTTCCAAAAGCGCGGAGCCGAGCAAGTGTATGTATTGAGATGCAGTATTAAACAATATAAATATAATACTTTCAATGGAACCTTCCTCTCTTCTCGTCAGTGTGACTTCGAGAAAGTGCACAGACTCATTGTATTCTTCTGTCACAGGTGTACGTGAATGAACATCACCGATGTGGCTCAAAATCATATCATCGTACATTACAAAATCGCTATCTACGCAACAATAGTACAGTCCCATTTCAGTTATTTCATCGTTACAACAAAAAATCCTCTAGTTTTGGTTTGAAATTGGCACTAAGCATACGAAGGTGTCTGCCAGAGACACGTTGGTGATGAATAAGGAGGAAGCATCAATGGATGACATATCTATCTGTTGTGTTCAAATTATTTTTGATTTTAGCAATAAATTGACAGTGTGCTATACTATCTGATCACAAAGGGATCCAACTACCTGTACCAGCCACTTTGCAGTATCATGATAATCTCATTGCAAAGTCTAATGTGGAACAGAGAGTCACCTTCGAATAATACCTTCTCGGTAAACCGTGTTATTGAGAGAAGCGACAGGCATATTTCACCAAAAACACGTGAAGATATAAAACACACATGGAGCAAGAACCATTCAGTCTTTATCCACAATGTTGATCTGACTATTTCTCTTTCTGATCTCACTTACCATTAATTGTCAATTTCACATTGCAGATCAATTTACAACTTGTCTTCTTAACTTTCCAATACTCCAGTGATTATTTCAATGTGTGCATACAGAGGCTTAGTGGTATCCTTTACCCCTTCTATTCTACTGCTCAATCAACTATTCTTACTATTATTCTTACTATTATTATTATCATTGATTAATTAATTAATTAGTGGCCTCAATATTATTAATTCTCAGTAACAAATGAATGTGAATATTTTGTATGCAGGCAGATAACTATGTTAACGTTGTTCAGTTTCATGTGAATGATGGACACATCGTGTATGGAATTTGCTATTGGATGCCAGTGAGAGTTGAGTAAACAGAAAGTACATTGTCCAGTAATAATAATGGTAGCAATAATAATTATTATTATAAATAAATATATTTATATATATATATATAAATCTGTATGTGAGCATTGTATATTCGTCACGGACAAGATATTCCGCTGTAAATAACCTCAGGTCTAGAGTTCTCTGCTTGGAAGTATTGTGAAGTAAGTTCAACACAATAATTTATTAATAGTAATGATAATAATGATAACTTGTAAAATGTAAAGTGCTTTATTGTGTTTCACGTTTCAGTGTAATCGTGTTTTCTTAACGAAGCTGAGCTGACTACTGGTAGTGTGTGAGGCTTGAGACAACATTCAGACAGGAATCAAACTCAACCCAAATCCGTGGTTGGTGAGCACTGTAACAATGATGTAACCGACCCACAATTTTGATACTGACAGTAGTTTATGCAAGTGATGAAGATTTGGTGTTGAATAGACACCTCTGTCTCCGCTATAATTGTGATGACAAAAAGGATACTCCGAACAAGCAACACGGTGATCGATGAGTGCAATACCGACAGTAATATCAAGTCATAGTAATAGGACTTGTTATTTCATGTTTGAGGCCATACACCGTCTCCTGATAATTGAACGAATATTTGCTCAGAATACTCTGTGATCTGGATCACACAGTCATTGCACAATTTTTGATTAACTGAACGGTTTATTTTCATACGACTTTTCAGACAATATCAAACCCAACACAAAAATACAATGAGGTTCTTTGTAGTGTTTATTTGTATACTGCAGTTGATACTAGTCACATCACAAGATACTTCTATCACAGGGGATGAAAACAAGGATGTCGTACAATTTGGTCGAGGTGTCATTGTAATTGCTCCTGATGTTACAAATATGGTTGAGATCACTGCAGAGACTACAACTATGGGTGAAACTACTCCAGAGACTACAACTATTGGTGAAACCACTCCAGAGACTACAACTATTGGCGAAACCACTCCGGAGACTACAATTATGAGTGGAACCACTTCTGAAGGTGCAACTGAAACTACAGTAATAGCTTCGACGATGCATACTTCTACTCCAACGCAGAAACCAGATGACTCGAAGGATAACAGTGGTGAGTCAGTGTTTTGATTGAATGTTATTAATGCACAGTGTTATTCACTTAATTACTTTGTCGTTATCTTAAATTATGAAGGCTGAATTCAACTCATCTCGACTACAATTCAGTTAGCTAGATAAATTCACATCACATTTTCCATTCATTTCAGCATGAAATTATCATTATTATTATGATTATTATTACTATTGTTCATTGACTGGTTTTCGACTGAAGCGTAGAGATTCAGGAGCACACCTCCACTTCACTCGATTCTCTGAAGTCACTCAAAATCGACTGCACGATCACTTTGATTTTCTCTTCCATCTCACACTGACGGCAGAGACACCTCATCGTCTATCATTCAGGTTCCACTCATGAGCACTCTAGTTTTTTCCTAAATTTCATTTCCGAGATGACGACTCCCTTGTGAATTATTCTAAACAGTGAAGATGACTACAAAGTCAAACACACACACACACACAGGCACATGCTTATTACAGAGAGTGACGCAGTGTGATTTGCTTACGTCCTAATGCCAACATGATCTTTATTATTCTGACATAGAGACTGTGATGTTGTTTCGTCATTGCTAAACAGACGAAAGATACCACGTATCATGTTCACAGATGCATGAGAAATGTTTGACAGCGAATATGGGTAAACAGGCACCTCAGGATGAAAGAGGTGAATTCGCCAGTTAGACACAGCAAATGTGCGTGCAGAATGAAGATCCAACTAGCTGGCAAAGTCCTCTCCGATTGGGGATTTTCGAGTTTTGAGGATACAGTGAGGAGTTAGATATTTGTGATATCCTGACAGCTAATATTTTGAATAGTTGAGCAAAATAAACAAGTCCTAAGGTCATCTCTTCGACTTATCATTGACAATACCGTGAGAATATGTTTGTTTCATCAGATTTCTATTTGTATATCAAATATCCTACGTGCTTAGTTTTCGGTAAATCACACTACATTGTGTTGTTATCATTTCATGACAGGTTTAGGAGCAGGAGTAATTGTAGGAATTGTATTCGGCTGTCTCGCAGGACTTGCTGTTATCGGTGCAATAATCTACTTTGTTCGACGGTGGATATTGTCCAGATGATATGTGGTGTTTCCAATTTTGTCCCATAATAATAATGGTTGATGACTTATGTATTTTATTTTGTGATATTTTGATTGACACTTGATTAGCTCTGGATAAAGCAGATTTCTGTTTTCTAAAACATTTTAACCTTGTTATTTCATTGTACTGATTATTAGTTTTACTTCTGTAGAAGCGTTATTAGTAATGTAAAACGAACTTATCACATTGTTTCTTGACATAATGGTTTTCACTGATTTTGATGATTCATATCGACATGGTGAGACCGTATACACAGTAACGAGTGCAAAGTAGGGTGAAAAAATGTCAACCATAAAAAGAATATAAAAGCAGCTCTATATTCTTATATCGTGGCTGGTTTAGAATGTTGCCTGGACTTCTGATAATTGCTGGCGGAGTAACGATGGAGATATTATTGACAGGATGAAGTGGTTAGAATAGGAATTCATTACTCCGATATTAATGTAGACATTTTCAGCAATCAGCAGTACACACTCATTTGCAATACTCATTTCAATAGGCTCTGTGTTTCTACATATTTCATAGACCTGATGGGCGTATCACCACAATTGTTTCAAAACAGATCACTGCAGACCTTCATTCCCGAATATCGCATAGTTGATCTGGAAGAATGAAATCCGAGGAAGTCTGACTTCGAGTCATCAGTCAAGTAACTGTTTCTCAACAGAAATGCAGAGGAAAATGCAGATAGATGTTTTGAGTATGCAGTAAGGAATTCTTTTAGTTGCACTCCACGTCAGGTCTTCGAATGCAACCTGATTCAGATTGAATGAGTATGTTCAGGTCCTGAGATTGACAGTGAGATGATTTGAAGATAAATTGAACATATTTTGGACAGTGATGGAGGCAGCTGGAAGTGACCACATGTACCCAGTGGAACGAAGATGTGTCACTGAAGTGCTCCGTTCAAACAGTGATGCAAAGAATGAATGATTATGATATGATTGTGGTACTGTGAACTCATGGATTTATCCCTGACAACCCGAAAATTATGAAAACACACTTGTTTTGAAACAGTCTAGATTAACCTGTATTTTAGGTGACTGAGTTAGTAAACTAATAGGTGAAACATGCAGATTGTGTGTTTGATATAAATGAGTCTTGAACAAGTCATCCACTTATTAAATCCGGTTGAAATGAAGCATTTGAAGTATAACGTCTAATGACATAAGTTTGGACAAAGCAATGCCTAGAAGTGGAATTCAAGATTTATCAACCACTATCCACTGCACAAATTCAGCCACGAGAGTCACCTCCTCTGCAACGGCCATCACTTATTATCACTAATTCAATTTCGACTTTCTTGTTGATTGATTGCACCGAAGTGCTCGATCGAACCACATAAACTCGATTGTGTAACTTAGTTAGCTGTTGAATAGTAGGAGAGTTCGAAATCTCAGTACTGGTGATAGCTTGCATTATGGTAACAAAACGCAACTTGTGATACTGGAATTTAGGATAACTGCCGGGCTCCTACAGCCATGCACGCTGAGAAGTGATTCAGAGGCCTATCACATAATAGATGGATTATAGAATGCGGACAGTTGAGCGAGTAGCAATTATCATATTCTCTCGTGAGCAAAAGGTCCATTTTAGGAACATGACAATAATAATAGTCACATCCTGCTGTTAGAGGCCTGAATAACACACTCATATTCGTGTCGATGATACAAACACTTTGTGATTGTATGTGATAGACTCTCTGTATTTTGCTCATATCCGATGGTAGTGGAAAGAAGTAACCACTGGAATAAGACACAGGGGACCACTATTGTCTGTATCAGCAAAGTGAAAAGTCTCTTCTCGGTGGCGAATTCATTCACTAAGCTTTTCATTCACATTAAACTATATATAACTACGTTGTGTATGTGTGTGTATGTGTGCACATTGTGATTGTCAAACAATAATAAAAAATTATTAAGGGTTATTGTTTACGTCATCAAATGTGTCCAAACTGTGATGAATAATGAAATTGTAACTACACGGGGTGGTTGGAGAAGATTGTTAAATATTGATAGGGATGTCGTGATGTTAGTAAAAGAGCATTGGAAGTCGAACCCGTACTTCCTGGCGCGTATTTTATCGTTTAAATCACGGAGTTGATAACCATAACCAATGAACTCCAGGAATTCACTGCATGAAAACAGAGTTCAGAAAACAATTACAGGATACAGTTTACCACAAACGAATAATGTAATTCTCTTTCACATTTCAAGTATTCTCTTCTTACACTTACATATTTTTATAGGGAGTATAGCGCAGTATCATGGGATACAATTGACATGGTAGTAGGTGTAAATGTTAGTGTTCGTCATAATCACAGACGAAAGTATAATAAAGAAATTTCATTGTGTAAACAACGATTGGTCTTGATATGTAGATGACTAAAGCTAGTTAAATGTAGTGAGAAATAGCATTTGAATGTATGAAATAGGTCAATGCTTTTCCATGGTTAGGGCTATAAGAAATCCAGCTATTATCCTCGAATATATTCCACATGTATATTGCGATTGTGTTCAAGTGAGGAAGCAACGAGATATACCAAAGAAGCATGATGGAAAAGCAGATGGAGAAAGAGACTTGCAAATAACATAAGCAGAGAAGGAAAGCGTGGAAGGATATGCGCATATTATTTAAGTTCCTCACTTAATTAGCTACCAGCGTCAAAATTACTCAACTCCTATTATGCATTCTCGAATACCAACAACTACAGTAGTGAGAAATCATCACTTGTGTTACCACCCTCTTTCATGAGATAAATATTGTACATTAATGTGATCATAGAGCTTCATGAATGAATTCACCGAAAACAGCCTCTCCACTCAACTACCTGTCTCCTATTCGTTACTGTCTGGATGAGGATCATTCATAAAGTGAGATATGAGTCACACAGTTGTTTGGGTGTGATCAATCATTGTTATGTATACACTCAAAGGTACAAGATAAAATATTTCCCATGAAGAACCAAAGAGAACATATATCTATATATATGTATCAATGAGTGCAGAGATATTGAACAAAGCATAGAGAAGACAAATATAACAAAATCATATCAACATTTCGTAATTTCTTCACCATCGCTTCACAACTAGAAATGAGATCTATGAGAATCACTCATTTACAACAGAAGTACATACTAGTGAGCACAGAAATTTTATCAGGTCAAGTAGTCCATAATGAGTAAATGTTGCAATCTGTTGTTTTCTGCTCCTACCGTATCAAGTGCATGTAATTAATCCGTAAATTAATTCCATCAATTTTAAGAACCTTGAATTGGATACCGATTCGTGAAATAATTGAGAAACATTCATGAGTAAAACAAGAGATATCTCAGAATTGAAGATAAGGATGCATTGAAACCTGCTGTTAAGAATTGGCTCACTGCAACATGCTTAGTCATCAGTTGCCTTGTGACTTTTCGTGAACATCCATCGGCTGATGCGTTAACTAGCGGCAACTGATGAGCGATATTCGAAGTCACGAATTCGATGAAATGGGTAGCTAGCATCTGCTCTCACGAATCTTCGTCCAAGGTGGGTAATGTGTGTCGCAGGAGATTTCTCAGCGTCACTGAGAGAATCCAGGAATTGTTATAGCGACAAGGTTTCAGAGACCAGGACATCTGCAGTGCCCCTTATTTATATGTGGGCTGTCAGACTCGCATTGGAGTCTCTCGACGATCTCGTCTCACGCCACCTCACCATCAACCTCCCGGGCGTCGCCACAGGCAGCCTTCGCATAACCTCTTAGCAGAGTCCTCAAGACGATCAGCTTCGGTGTCTGCTCCCTCACTCCAACCAGGTCCACAATGGCTTCGATGTGCCTGGGAATTTCCTTACATCTCCGTCCTCGAACACTTGCGGCCACAGCAACTTCATCTCAGGCGCTAGCAGTGAAAGCAGTTGTAAGCGAGAAAGATGAACGCGGCTGGAAAACATTTAGTAGGTTAATCTTATTGTGGATACATAAATCTCTAATACTGCGGTGGCACATCATTCGTGAATCGGTTAAATATCACCACATTGGACAGCTTGTTGGATTCTGCACAGTGATTCTAACGTTCTTCTCACAGTTCTGTTCTTCGATTGCTTTTTCCGGTGCACGAAACATGTTGTTACTTTTCTGAACTCGTTTACTGATTACCTACTTATATTTGGTTAGAAGTAGCACTTTCATCGCTCACTCTCATAACAATTGACATTATTTGGGAAGTAAGTTCGGTCACTGTTTATATCTCCTCGCTAATAATTTTACCTGTCCACATGTTCCTCCGACACAAACGCCATCAAAGTACACACAATGTATTTGCTACACGTAATTTTGTTTGCTGTCTCATTCCACATTATCCTCAACCAGCACTAGTTATAAGAGTAAGGTGTTCGTTGCACGAAAATAAACACATGTGTCATGCCTGTTAGAAAATCGCTTCATTCCATGTGATGTCACTCTGCAATAAGGAATCACCAATTCAGGAAGAAAATTCTTAGCAGCAGGTTTCAATGAATCCTTATCTTCACTTCTGAGATATCTCTTGTTCTACTGAAGAATCTTTCTCAATTATTTCATGTAACTCTATCTAATTCAAGGTTCTTAAAATTGATGGAATTAATTTTTGGATTAATTACATGCACTTGATACGGTGTGTGCGGAAAACAACAACTTGACGTGATAAAATTTCTGTGCTCATTAGTATGTACTTCTGTTGTAAATGAGTGATTCTCATAGATCTCATTTCATTCATGTGAACCCTTCCAGTTGTGAAGCGATGGTGAAGAAATTACGAAATGTTGATATGATTTTGTTATATTTGTCTTCTCGATGCTGTGTTCAATATCTCTGCACTTAGTGATACATATATATATATGTGTTCTATTTGGTTATATGGGAAATATTTTATCTTGTACCTTTGAGTGTATACACAACAATGAGGAAGTAGTTGTAGGCTATGATTGATCACAGCCAAACCACTGTGTGACTCATATCTCATTATATGAATGATCCTCATCCAGACAGTAACGAATAGAAGACAGGTAGTTGAGTGAATGGGCTGTTTTCGGTGAATTCATTTATTACGCTGCAAAATCGCACTGATACACACTGTTTATCTCATGAAAGAGGGTGTTGACAAGAGTGATGATTTGTCACCACCTTAGTTGTTGATATTCGAGAATGCATAATAGGATTTGAGTAATTTTGTCATTGGTAGCTTATATAGTGAGCACTTTAATGAATATCCGCATATATTTTCTGCCATATTTTATACGCTTTCCTTCTTTGCTCATCTTATTTGCGCGTCTTTTCTTCCGTTTGCTTTCCCATCATGCTTCTTTGGTATATCTCGTTGCTTCCTCACTTGAACACAATCGCAATATACATGTGGAATATATTCGAGGATAATAGCTGGATTTCTTATAGCCCTAACCATGGAAAAGCATTGACCTATTTCATACATTCAAATGCTATTTCTCACTACATTTAACTAGCTTTAGTCATCTACATATCAAGACCAATCGTTGTTTACACAATGAAATTTCTTTATTATACTTTTGTCTGTGATTATGACGAACACTAACATTTACACCTACTACCATGTCAATTGTATCCTATGATACTGCGCTATACTCCATATAAAAATATGTAAGTGTAGGAAGAGAATACTTGAAATGTGAAAGGGAATTACATTATTCGTTTGTGGTAAACTGTATCCTGTAATTGTTTTCCGAACTCTGTTTTCATGCAGTGATTTCCTGGAGTTCATTGGTTATGGTTATCAACTCCGTGATTTAAACGATAAAATACGCGCCAGGAAGTACGGGTTCGACTTCCAATGCTCTTTTACTAACATCACGACATCCCTATCAATATTTAACAATCTTCTCCAACCACCCCGTGTAGTTACAATTTCATTATTCATCACAGTTTGGACACATTTGATGATGTAAACAATAACCCTTAATAATTTTTTATTATTGTTTGACAATCACAATGTGCACACATACACACACATACACAACGTAGTTATATATAGTTTAATGTGATTGGACAGCTTAGTGAATGAATTCGCCACTGGGAAGAGACTTTTCACTTTGCTTATACAGACAATAGTGGTCCCCTGTGTCTTATTCCAGTGGTTACTTCTTTCCACTACCATCCGATATGAGACTCTACCACATACAATCACAAAGTGTTTGTATCATCGACACGAATGTGAATGTGTTATTCAAGCATCTAACAGCAGGATGTGACTATTATTATTGTCATGTTCCTAAAGTGAACCTCTTGCTCACGAGAGAATATGATAATTGCTACTCGTACAACTCTCCACATTCTGTAGTCTGTTTATTCTGTGGTAGACCTCTGAAACATTTATCAGTGTGTATGGTTGTAAGAACACTCCAGTCATCCTTAATTCATGTATCACGAGTTACGTTTTGTTACCATAATGCAAGCTGTCACCAGTACTGAGATTTCGAACTCTCCTACTATTCAACAGCTAACTAAGTTACACAATCGAGTTTATGTGGTTCGATCGAGCACTTCGGTTCAATCAATCAACGAGAAAGTGGAAATTGAATTAGTGATAATAAGTGATGGCCGTTGCAGAAGAGGTGACTCTCGTGGCTCAATTGGTGCAGTGTATAGTGGTTGATGCGTCTTGAATTTCACTGCTAGTCGCCACCCACTAAAGAATGTCCGTCATTCCCTTATCCGAACTTATGTCATTAGACGTTGTGTTTCAAATGCTTCATTCCAACCAGACTAAATACGTGGATGACTTGTTCAACACGCATTTATAGAACACACAATCCTAATGTTTCACCTAGCAGTTTATTAGCCAAGTCACCTAAAATACAGGTTAATCTAGACTGTTCCAAAACAAATGCGTTTCCATCATTTTCGGCTAGGCGGGGATAAATCCATTAGTCCAAATTACCACCACCATATCATAATCATTCATTCTTTGCATCACTGTTTGAACGGAGCCCTTCAGTGACAGATCTGCGTTCCACTGGGTACATGTGGTCACTTCCAGCTGCCTCCATCACTGTCCAAAATATGTTCAATTTATCTTCAAATCATCTCACTGTCAATCTCAGGACCAGAGCATACTCAATCAATATGAATCAGGTTCCACTCGAAGACCTCACGTGGAGTGCAACTAAAAGAATTTCTTACTGCATACTCAAAACATCCATCTGCATTTTCCTCTGCATGTCTGTTGAGAAACAGTTACTTGACTGATGACTCACAGTCAGACTTCCTCGGATTTCATTCTTCCAGATCGACTATGTGATATTCGGGAATGAAGGTCTGCAGTGATCTGTTTTGAAACAATTGTGGTGATACCCCATCAGGTCTATGAAATATGTAGAAACACAGAGTCGATTGAAATGAGTATTGAAAATGAGTGTGTACTGCTGATTACTGAAAATCTCCACATTAATTTCAGGGTAATGGACACAGTTCCGAATCTCTCGATCCTGTCAATAATATCTCTACCATTGCTGAGCATTTCCTACTGTTATTCTAACACAGCTAGCAATTATCAGGAGGTCAAGCAACATTCTAAACCAGCGACGATGTTAGAATTTTCAGCTGACTTTAAACTCGATTTATCGTTGATATTTTGTCACCTTAGTTTGCACTAGTTACTGTGTATATGGTCTCACTGTGTCAAGAAGAACCATCAAAATCATTGAAAACCAATATGTCAAGAAACAATGTGATAAGTTTGTTTTTCATTACTAATAACGATTCTACAGAAGCAAATCTAATGATCAGTACACTGAAATAACAAGGTTAAAATGTTTAAGAAAACAGAGATGTGATTCATCCAAAGGTTATCAAGTGTAAATGAAAATATTACAAAATAAAATACATAAGTCATCAACCATTATTATTATGGGACAAAATTGGAAACACCACATATTATCTGGACAATATCCACCGTCGAACAAAGTAGATTATTGCACCGATAACAGCAAGTCCTCCGAGACAGCCGAATACAATTGCCACAACTGTTCCTGCTCCTAAACCTGTCATGAATATGATAACAACACAATGTAGTGTAATTAACGAAAACTAAGCACGTAGGATATTTCATAAAGAAATAGAAATCTGATGAAACAAACATATTCTCACGGTAGTCTCGGTGATTATTCGAAGAGATGACTTTAAGACCTGTACATCTTGTCAGGATGTCACAAATATCTATCTCCTGGCTCTATCCTCAAAACTCGAAAATCGCCGATTTGCAGGGACTTTTGTCAGCTGGTTGGATCTTCTTTCTGCACGCAGATTTACTGTGTCTGACTAGCTACTTCACCTCTTTCATCCTGAGATGCCTGTTTACCCATATTCGCTGTCAAATATTTCTCATGCACCCATGAACAGGATACGCGGTCGATTTAGAGTGACTTCAGAGAATCGATTGAAATAGACTTGTGCTCCTGAATCTCTACGCTTCTGTCGAAAACCAGTCAATGAACAATAGTAATAATAATAAGAATGATAATTTCATGCTGAAATAAATGGAAAATGTGATGTGAATTTATCTAGCTAACTGAATTGTAGTCAAGATGAGTTGAATTCTGCCTTCATAATTTAAGATAACGACAAAGTTATCAAGTGAATAACACTGTGCATTATTAACATTCAATCAAAACACTGACTCACCACTGTTATCTTTCGAGTCATCTGGTTTCTGCGTTGAAGTAGAAGTATCCATCGTCGAAGCTATTACTGTAGTTTCAGTTGCACCTTCAGAAGTGGTTCCACTCATAATTGTAGTCTCTGGAGTGGTTTCACCAATAGTTGTAGTCTCTGGAGTGGTTTCGCCAATAGTTGTAGTCTCTGGAGTAGTTTCACCCATAGTTGTTGTCTCTGGAGTAGTTTCACCCATAGTTGTAGTCTCTGCAGTGATCTCAACCATAGTTGTAACATCAGGAGCAATTACAATGACACCTCGACCAAATTGTACGACATCGTTGTTTTCATTCCCTGTGATAGAAGTATCTTGTGATGTGACTAGTATCAACTGCAGTATACAAATAAACACTACAGAGAACTTCATTGTATTTTTGTTTGGGGTTTGATATTGTCTGAAAAGTCGTATGAAAATAAACCGTTCAGTTAATCAAAAATTGCGCAATGACTCTGTGATCCAGATCACAGAGTATTATTAGCAAATATTTGTTCATTTATCAAGAGACGGTGTATGGCCTCGAACATGAAATAACAGGTCCTATTAATATGACTTGATATTACTGTCGGTATTGCACTCATCTATCACCGTGTTGCTTGTTCGGAGTATCCCTTTCGTCGTCACAATTATAGCGGAGACAGAGGTGTCTATTGAACACCAAATCTTCATCCCTTGCATAAACTACTGTCAGTATCAAAATTGTAGGTCAGTTCTATCGGTGTTAGAGTGCTCATCAACCACAGATTTGTGTTGAGTTTGATTCCTGTCTCAATGCTGTCTTAAACCTCACAGACTACCAGTAGTCAGCTCAGCTTCTTTAAGGAAACACGATTACACTGACAGGTGAAACACATCAAAGCACTTTACATTTTACAAGTTATGATTATTATCATTACTATTAATAAATTATGGTGTTGAACTTACTTCACAATACTTCCAAGCAGAGAACTAAAGACCTGAGGTAATCTTGTCCGTGATGAATATACAATACTCACATACAGATTTATATATATTTTTATTTATAATAATTATTCTTAATACTACCATTATTATTACTGGACAATGTACTTTCTGTTTACTCAACTCTCACTGGCATCCAATAGCAAATTCCATACACGATGTGTCCATCATTCACATGAAACTCAACAACGTTAACAAATTTATCTACCTGCATACAAAATATTCACATTCATTTGTTACTGAGAAATAATAATATTAAGGCCACTCATTAATTAATTAGTTAATGATAATAATAATAATAATAATGGTAACAATAGGTGATTAAGCAGTAGAATAGAAGGGGTAAAGGATACCAGTAAGCCTTTGTATGCACACATTGAAATAATCACAGGAGTATTGGAAAGTTAGGAAGGCAAGTTGTAAATTGATCTGCAATGTAAAATTGACAATAAATAGTAAGTGAGATAAAAAATGCAAATAGTCAGATCAACATTGTGGATAAAGACTGAATGGTGCTTGCTCCATGTGTGTTTTATATCTTCACGTGTTGTTGGTGAATTATACCTGTCTCTTCTCTCAATAACACGGTTTACCGAGGAAGTTTTATTCAAAGATGATACTATGCTCCGCAATAGACGTTGCAATTAGATTGTCATGAGACTGCAAGGTGGCTGGTACAGGTAGTTGGATCGCTTTTTGATCAGATAGTATAGCACACTGTCAATTTATTGCTAAAATCAAAAATAATTTGAACACAACAGGTAGATATGTCATCCATTGATGCTTCCTCCTTATTCATCACTAACGTGTCTCTGGCACACACCTTCGTATGCTTAGTGCCAATTTCAAACCAAAACTAGAGGATTTTTTGTTGTAACGATGAAATAATTGAAATGGGACTGTACTCTTGTTGCGTAGATAGCGATTTTGTAATGTACGATGAAGGTCTGCGTATTGATATGATTTTGAGCCACATCGGTGATGTTCATTCACGTACACCTGTGACAGAAGAATACAATGAGTCTGTGCACTTTCTCGAAGTCACACTGACGAGAAGAGAGGAAGGTTCCATTGAAAGTATTATATTTATATTGTTAAAGACTGCATCTCAATACATACACTTACTCGGCTCCGCGCTTTTGGAAGTCAAAAGTAGTTTGATTGGAAGGTCGATTCGCTCGAGACACTCTCTAGGGACAGCACCCCAGGTCGTTCGGGATAATGAAAGGGGAAACGGCTACCGAGAGAAGATTCAAAAAGCTAACATGGGTTATGATGGTCACGAAGATGAACTGGCAATCGTGGAGAAGAAGGCATTATTTTTGCCTTGAGGACTCTGCTTAAAGGCCGTGCGGAGGCTGCCTGCGGCGACGCCCGGGAGGTTGACGGTGGGGTGGCGTGAGACAAGGTCGTCGAGAGACTCGTATGCGAGTCTGACAGCCCCAGATATAAATAAGGGGCACTGCAGATGTCCTGGTCTCTGAAACCTTGTCGCTATAACAATTCCTGGATTCTCTCAGTGACGCTGAGAAATCTCCTGCGACACACATTACCCACCTTGGACGAAGATTCGTGAGAGCAGATGCTAGCTACCCATTTCATCGAATTCGTGACTTCGAATATCGCTCATCAGTTGCCGCTAGTTAACGCATCAGCCGATGGATGTTCACGAAAAGTCACAAGGCAACTGATGACTAAGCATGTTGCAGTGAGCCAATTCTTAACAGCAGGTTTCAATGCATCCTTATCTTCAATTCTGAGATATCTCTTGTTTTACTCATGAATGTTTCTCAATTATTTCACGAATCGGTATCCAATTCAAGGTTCTCAAAATTGATGGAATTAATTTATGGATTAATTACATGCACTTGAAACGGTGTGAGCAGAAAACAACAGATTACAACATGTAGTTATTGTGGACTACTTGACCTGATAAAATTTCTGTGCTCATTAGTATGTACTTCTGTTGTAAATGAGTGATTCTCATAGATCTCATTTCATTCATGTGAACCCTTGTAGTTGTGAAGCGATGGTGAAGAAATTACGAAATGTTGGTATGATTTTGTTATATTTGTCTTCTCGATGCTTTGTTCAATATCTCTGCACTTATTGATACATATTTATAGATATATATGTTCGAATAGGTTTTACGGGAAATATTTTCTCTCATACATAAGAGTGTTTACACAACAATGAGGAATTAGTTGTAGGCTTTATTGATCATACCTAAACCACTGTGTGACTCATATCTCATTTAATGAATGACCCTCATCCAGACAGTAACGAATAGAAGACAGGTAGTTGAGTGAATAGGATTTTTTGACGAATTCATTTAATACGCCTTTACACTCTCATGAAAGAGGGTGTCAACACAAGTGATGATTATTCACGACGATAATTTTGAATTTCAGCGAAATTCATAAGACTATTTGATTACGTTTGAGGGATTTGCTGATTAGAATGTCTCATTTGTGAGATTCTTTGTAATGATTTCATTGCTCACACTTGATTTTTTCAGGTCATACCTATTCTATTTTTAAAGAAATAAAGGTTATTCAATCGACGGGAAAACGAGTCCTTCTCTAACTGATGTCATCCCATAATGAAATCCTTCATCCAATCAAACTAAATCTACATGAAAACAATACTTGAAATTCTTCTTGATGTGTTTCGGTGTAGAGCTTCGCTTGATAGGTGACACTCGGCCAATAAATTGAACACAACAATAATAGCATCAAAAATCAACTGACTGTTGGCCTCCAATTTATGAGCCAGTAGGAAAGATTTGTGCTTCAGGTGGATATATCAACTAGCATGGCGACCTCGTCTGGAAAGACAGTCAAAGCTCCAGAAGTAATAATCAGCTTCGACTAGCCCGAATAACACAACATCACCAAGTAAATGTGTCAGAATTGTTGGAGAGTGGACTCATGAGTAATCGTGGATTCATGACTGTCCAGTGACCCTCAGTATCTCAACGATTTCAGAACTGTTTCTCATTCTCGGAAGAAGCTTAACCCATCATACGACACACGTTGATACGACTCTTGAACCTTTTCAAATTGAACGGTAATTTTTACCTCACCACTTAGCTCTTGATTATTTCCTGCAGCTAACAATTGTGAGACACATGTGAAACCTGTGAATTGAAAACACCATGTAGACGAAAGAAATTAGTGTAACAATTGCCAGAATTTTAGTAAATTGGTTTCATGCATTTCTTGACAAAACTATAGAAAATACAGGAATGTATACTTGTCTCAATTTGAGGAAGTAATGTTTGAGAGACAATTGGCATTTCATTCTATTATGATTGCGAAACGCATCTGACAACAGCTGCGTTATCTAGTATGGATCTATACAAAAACCTCTTAGTTAGTCGATGAGTATCGAGAGACTTCAACAGACTATGTCAGATTTATTCGAAATGTTCAATTGCACCAATGTCTGTAGAACACATTCCACGCAGCCATGAACACATACGTCTCAAACTTAATATTCCACATCATTTTGACTGACTGACTGCCATTTTCGAATACAGTTGTAGATGGTACTCTTAAGTCACAAGATTAATCATTGCATGCACACACAGTAGGAATGTAATCAACGACCTGAAAGGCTTTGTCAACATTATTCTTTCCTGAGTATCAACAAAATTATCGAAGCACAGCTACACATCTACTTTGTTCGCCTCTTATGTAAGCATATGGAATCAGGTGTGAAGATGCAATGAGAGACAAGCCAAATAAAGAGTGTATGTGTCAGAGTAGGTAGAGTGGGAGTGCAGATTAGTGGGCCTATCTTGGATTGAATATTAGATGTAAGGATAGAGAAAATTGTATATTTACAGGGGGAAAGAAGGTTGGTTAGTCAGTTCGTGCCTGACACTGTTTTCGTCACATAAAATAGGTGGGAAACATATTATCATAGAAATTTTATACTAAGACGTGTGCACATAATTTCTTTTGATACAGTGATTAGCTATATCGACCTCAACAGTGGCAGCCGAAATCCTAATGCATTGGGAACCAATTTCATTCTGCATGATGATGACAGCAGGATTCAACTCGAAAAGAAAGAAGGAAGGGAGGGAGGTCACAATTATCCAGTGCTACATACAACGCATAACCAGGGGTGAAGGAGGAAGAGTTGTACAGAGAGCTACAAACAGTAATGGACAACATCACAAACGATAACATGGAATTGCTCATGAGTGATATGAATGTCAGGTGAACTGGGAGCAAATGGTACAGGAAGAGAACTAATCGAGAGACTATGGCTCGCCAAAATGAATGACAACGAGGGATTATTCGCAGACTTCGGTGCTTTCATTTATTTGGCGATCAGAGGTAGCGTGTGCAGGCAAGAAGACATACAAGAGGCCAGTGACATGCATTTCGCCAGACGGAGAAACGACAAAGCAGATTCACTTCATTTCACTGCTGTTCAAGGAAGTGGAGATGCAGACAGTCTGCTGGACACAAAGTCGAGAAGGGTGGTAGACGTGGTCTCAGACCACCATCTGTCTCACGGAACCTTCAATGTGAAGTTGAAATCCCCAAAACATCTGGAGAGAAGCCACTGTGATTCCAGCTCACCATTCAGAAACTGACGGACAACAGTACATGAGATACATTCACTACAGACCACGGCCAGTCGGAACGGACGAAGATGTCAACACCAGCCAGAATCGGAAAGGCAAGATTCACCTTCATCACATAGAAAGCAGTGTGTAAATCTTGTGCAGGGACTTCGGCAGCATAAGGAACAATATTCGGATTTTCAACTGCAATATCAAGTGGGTTGGTCCTTGTTAATGCGTCCGAAACTTGACCAGCGTGTCATGAAAAGGATTTTCAACAGTCTGTTGCAAACCTTTGTGAACAGCTGCCTTCACTGTCTCCATACTGAAGATCATATGAATGTTTGGCCGGAAAGAATCAGTAACAAGATACTTTGTAGTGCGACAAAGCAACAGCTGAGATG